AATTATTTTTTATTCAAACTGAAGCCACTACATCCATCAAATGTATTTCTAGGTGAGAGCAGTACACCAAGTGGAAATGTATGCTCAGTGGAGGAGGCTGGGATTAAATGCCACAGGCTTGCTACAGCCAAGAGTATATCTGCATCTATGAGAGGCAGACCAGAACAGCAAAGCTAATGCCAAGACCAGCCACAGTACAGTACATCTTGCAATGCTGAATCAGTCAACTAGTTCTAGAGTGCACGACCAAAGCAAAAAATGTGATTCAACACAAAAAATGAGGTTTCTCTAACCTCCAATTTAACTATGCAAGGTCTTCTTATTACTTAACTAGGTACCTTCACCAAGAACAGTTAAGAAAATCAGACAACTGCCCTTGCTTCCTATTACTCTTCTTATTGGATACTTTTTATCAAGTGAGGTAAGCACACGTTTTCCAATAAGTTATTCAGCAAAATGTCCTATGCTACTTAACTGACTCAAAGCAAACAGAATTTTTGTTTGTTTTCTTTTGAGACGGAGTCTCGCTCTGTCACCAGGCTGGAGTTTGGTGGGGTGATCTCGGCTCACGGCAACCTCGGCCTTCTGGGTTCAAGCGATTCTTCTGCCTCAGCCTCCTGAGTAGCCGGGACTACAGGCATGCGCCACCACACCCAGCTAATTTTTATATTTTTGGTAGAGATGGGGGTTTCACTATGTTGGCCATGGCCTCGATCTCCTGACCTCGTGATCTGCCCGCCTCGGCCTCCCAAAGTGCTGGGATTACAGGCGTGAGCCCCGCACCTGGCCAACAAACACATTTTTTAAAACAACGACAAAAAGGACAAAAAGCGCAATAGCCTGGCTGTGTGCTTTCCATTTAAAGAGATACTCCCTCCCTTCAGAGTCCTATTTCCTTGCTCTGCACCAATGGCTATGCTGTTGTTTAAAACAAACACCTAAACCGTTGACATTGAAATATCCAGACTACATGGTCTTAAAGATAGAGTCTGGATTAATGAAATAAAGTGAGTCAGTGAGATGCAAGACTTAACATTCCAATAATTATCTTTTTAACCCCCCCCCCCTTTTAAATGTCAAAACTCTTAGAGCTCTTCTCTTAAGGGAGTAAGAAGGGGGGGGGTCTCCTCTAATTTTGTGGAACCTAGGTTTTGTAAGGATATTGACAAATTAGATGCATGGCAATTAAATTAGAATTTCACCGTATCTCCTGCCTTAAAAGAACAGCTTTATTCTTGACGGAGCCCACCTAACAATTTTATGTTCAGTCATCTGCAGAGAATAGAGCCACTGTCTTTTTCTTTCCTAGCCTAGGGTAAAAGCTTTATTTCACTGCAAGTTCCCTGTGACATTTTGCACTCTCTTGATTTAATGCACCAAAGAGGATCTTTAACTCTTGGTCTACACCAGTGCAAATAAAGGTTAAATCTCTCACTAACCATCATGAACTAGCCTAATAACTCACGAGAGGCCCTGGAAAAAGAAACCGAGAAAGCAGGTGTGCAGCCTTGATTAAAACGTGCAAAACCCGCACAACCGCAGGCAAAGGTACTTTATCCTCACGTTTGGCCAGTACCGGCTGCGAGGTCGGCAGGCAGGGGAACTTGTACTGCGCCAAAAACACGATCCCGGGAGCCGGGCCTAGTAACACAGGGGCTTTTCTTCAGAACAGTGTCCAGACCGGAGCTTGCGCCGAAAGTAGGGGCTCCTATTGGCCACGCGCCGTAGGGGAGGAGACGACTGGCAGGCAGAGAGACTGGAGGAGGGGAGAAGGGGGCAAGGCCTTTTCCCTGCCCCCTGCGGGCCCCCTCCGCAGGCCGCCGCCGGTGCCTCTTGCGTGGTTACTATGCAAATTGCAGCGATTGCGGAAATAAACAAGGGGGTAGGGAGAGGAGATAGGGACTGCCGAATCGATTGCAACTTCTGCAAAGTCTCGTACAATCCAAAGCACGCAAGGCAAAACCAGAGAGAATCTGAGAACCAGCCAGCCCGGGTTGGATCGCTTTCAAAAGAGAGAGTGAGAGCGAGCGAGCGAGCGAGCGAGACAGTGAGAGAGGGAGAGAGCGCGCCTTGCAATTGCAAAAGCCTTCTGATTTGGAGTAAAAAAAAAAAAAAAATTCTCCAAGAAGCCTGCAATTGGCTAACAGCTTTTTAAAAAATCTCTTCCGGGTTTTCAACGGTTCCAAGTTTATTTAGATTTTTTTTAATGCAAAAAAAAAGGGGGCAACAAATGAAGCAATTCGTCTGAGCATTTTAAAGTTTCTCACGTACTCTTTTTACATTGCAATGGTACGTGGTACATCTTAAACTTTCTATTTTGCATTTATATGATATGCGTTTTATAAACAATAATGGTAGAATGATGATTTTGTTTAATGGCTAAGACTAAAATTTCTCTAGCTCGCATATGCACTTAAGTGATTGCTGGGTAAATGTCTATTGTGATGGTTTTGTTTTAAAGATGTAGCTTTGTGGATGGTGTTTTTGCTATGTGCATCAGAGACCGGGTTTTTTTTTTTTTTTTTTTTTTTTTTTCGGGATTTGAAAAAATTGCTGAGCTTGACAGATTTTTTTTTCCTCCTAGCGCTTGCTCGGTTCCAGAAAGGGGTGGGGGGAAATCCTGTACGTGCTCTGTTCTGTAAAAGACGTCTGGCCTCAGCAGTCAACCTAACCCGAAAAGATATGTCTGGACCCGGAGAATAATTGACGATTTGATCCTCTAATCAATGGGACAACATGGGAGATTGACAAAAGCTTTATCCAATCATAAGAAAGCCTGGGTGTACAATAGTTCTCAATAGCCAGAGGGGGCGGGGCAGAGGAGATCTGAAGTTCTCTGCAGCTCTGAAGGGGATGGTGTGGTTCAAGCTGTCAAAGCTACAAGCGCTTCCGGATTTAGCAAGCACAATAGGAAAGAGTTTTCGCGTTTAAGAAAAAAAAAAAGCTGATGGGGGAGTTTTGCATGAATCGTGTGCCTTCTTCCTCGCCTTCTGGAAAAACAAACATTCTGCTAGAGAAATAACTTTGCATTAGTTATTAACTTTGCATTAGCTATTATTTTTAAACTCAGGGAAGTTGGTAACTTGTGGAATGTGAAGTTCAACTTTAAGAAATGTGTGGCTTAAATCTTGCCTGAATTGTGGGACTGTAGTGAGCTTTGGGAAGTAACATTGTGGCGTACTCAGCATTACAAAACTTCTCACTGATTATCTTAGGAGCTTTGGCATTTCAGGTACTTTGAAATTAATAGGTAAACCTCTCTTCTTGAAGTCTAAACAACAGTTTTAAAGGAGAGAATGTTTCACAGGTGGACTAGCAGCTGTATTACTGAAAGAAAGGGGGGGAGTGTTTTTTCTTGGCTGTTCTTGAATTCTGCTTTTTAAGTATATGGTCAGTAGGAAATAGGACATTAAGACTGGCCAAGTTCACATTTCTTCTTGTTACCACAACAACCCCCATGGAGAGTGTGAGTATGGAAGATCGCTGACTTGCTAAACTGTTAGCTGGAGTCTGGCCTCTTGGACAAGTGCTTGATACAAATCCAGTGGAAACCAACTGCAGTAGCTTGTCTTGGAGACAGTAGCTGGCAGCCTCTGACTAAAATATCTCCATCTCTTCCTCTCTGAGCAGTGTAGACACCTAATTCTGTTGGGAAGTGAATGGAAAATAATAAGGGCTCTTTCCCTTCTTGGATTAAATTCCCATCGAGCTATTTCCCAAGGCTTCAGGCCTTCCAGTCAAATCTGGCTTGGAACTTTGATGTAACAATTCACTTGGACACTCATTTCAGCAACATGGTTCAATTTAGGATTATATGCATGTAAAAAAATCTGCACAGAAGTGACCACCAGGTCAAAAACCAGAAAAGAAAAAATGTTGAAAAATGCCAGTTAATAAAGTTAGTCTTGGTAAGAACCACAGAATTATGGTTTTGTCACTTATGAATCCCAGTCCTATCTTCACTGCTTTGGGTATTAAAATCTAAATCATATTAATAAGATCTTCCTATTAAGTAACCTCCAAAATGAGAGCTATTTGAGATGTACATATAAGTGAAACCTTATTGACGTAATTTATATATCTAAGAGGATTTCACTAAAGCTGGCAAGGTAACGTTTCTGCAAATAAAACACAGTAAATGCAAGGCTGGGCTCTGTGCCAGGAAGAATATGGATAGCAGAGAGCATGACAGGAGCCTCCTTTGCGCAGAGACAATCCCATTTCAAGGCAGCCTCCTACCACTTGCAAAATAAATGATTGGAGTGGTTATTTCCAATAAGGGGTTTATCCTTCCTAACAATGGGTCATTTATATGATTGCAGTGAACTAGTTTCCATACTTCACCTGCGTTTCCTCCACTGCTCTCTCTACTATCCTTTCTTTCTTCCCTCCTCCATCCCTGCTCTCTCTCAAGTGTCTTAGTATCTTTGTGAACTCTGGACAAGGATTTACTTTTGTAACTTGGGAAGAGGGGAGAGAGTTGGAAATGTTTTCTACCCCAGTCTGCCCTTTGAGGAACATCTGTTTCTTTGTGCGTGTGTTTAAATTTATGCCTGTTGGAGAGAAAGTTACCAGAAGCCTTTCTGTAACTGTAACTCTTCTACTGTATTTTTCTCAGTCTTGTTTCCAAAGGCTGTAGATGGAACTGTGCTTTGTAGTGTTTCCCCCGCCTCCCCCCTCCCTCTGCGGGGGAGGGAGCGGGAGCTGGCGGAGATAGGAGAGAAAGCAGGAACGGATGTGAAGGGCTTTGGTGCTGAACTTGGATCCAGCCCTTGCCTAGAGGGCGCAAACAATCGTCCCATATCCAAAAGTCTTAAGAAGGGCGCCAAAAGTTACTTAAGATAATATTGCTAACCGCAGAAAGCTGGAAATCGCGGGCACATCCACTGCTACAACAAAAGAAGTTTTTAAAGTAGAAATATCAGCATTAAATTACTTCCCCCCACATTAAAAAAAAAAAAAAAAAAAAAAACCAGGGCGACGTGCCAGTCCTTTTTTTTTTTTTTAAATCTTTTTCCCCTTGAGACTCCAAAGTAAGAATCTTTGCCATTTTGAAAAGAGGCAGATGTGAAGTGTATCTTTTAATACACCAAAGAAAGATTTTGATCTGCTCTGTAAGAGCTTCCCGAGTACAAACTCCGAACAATAACTTCTCACTGTGCCTCAGTTACATGTTGGGACCGACCGTCAGCCAGAAACTTCTATCGAGGAAACTTGGAGCGCATTGAAGTTATAGATCCCAGCAAAGGTTCTCGTGGCCAGGGATGTTGTCTCTGTAACTCAGCTTAGTTTTTAGGAGATTCTTCCTTTACTGAAATCCGAGAGGAACCAAAGAAAAGCAGTGGGTTAGTTTGGGAAAATGGACTTTTTCATTAAAGGCTGAAATCATTATTTCTCCTCACTCCTTAGTAAATAATCCTGAGAAATTTCCAAGGATGTTCAGGAGGGAGGGTGGGGGAGAGAATGGTTCTTGAGCATTCAGGAATTATTTTGGCAATAAAGTAACTAAAGTACAAGCATAAAATAGCTTTAGACAGATGAATTATTTCAGAGGTTCTCCTTTGCTTTTTCTCCAGTACAGTATTTCCTGCCCCTTGCTTTAAAAATAAGTCTGAATGAGAGTGGCCTTAACACACCACTCACCCTCACTTGTGGAATGGGCATTCCTACAGGAATTTCCTCTCTTTAGAGATTCTCTGGCTATGTCACCTCCACCGAAGGACAGATTCCCCTGTGTGCCAGTGTCTTTCAACATGATACCCACCTCTTTCCTTATGGAATTTTGAGAAGGGTTGTCAAATGCAGCATTTTGCAAAACCATCATGAGGAAGAGAAGGAAAATAAGGGATAGGGGATTGGAAGAGGGAGGTATGGGGAAAAAATACATATATATTTATATATATGTATTTTTTCCCCTCCAAGAGAGAAGAGAGCCTAGAGAGAAAATATGAGGTTAAAAAAAAAACTGGAAAAGCAGGCTTACTGGCAACTTGCCAAACCCTAAAAACCACCCCCCTTTTCTGCCAAAACAATACTTTAGCAAACCTAAAATAATTGCAGGAAGCTCTTTTCCATTTTAAGAACTATTACCTGGGGGAGGGAAAAAAGGGATTCTTAAAAGGCACCCTTCCAGAGGTGTCCCAGAAACTGGGACGGTAATGACAGCCTATGTCCAGTTCTGGGCACGCGTTTGTGGATCAGAATATCTCCCTACCCTAAGGGGACATCCCTTTCACATTTTTTTTCCTCCTAAAAAGAAAAAGATGCCACAGTTAAACCACTGTTGTTTCTGAACGTGATAGAACTTTTTCTATGGCGTCTGTGTTCAAATCCACTAGTTTCACAGTTCTGGGAGGGAGAATGCTCATTAATCTCCGCCTTCCTTTCTCCAGACCCCCGCCCCCCAAATCCGGTGAATCTTCTGTGGGCACTGATTCCTCACCAACCCCGATTCTGAATGCCACAGGACCGAAGCTGCACAAAGTTTACAGGATTGTGTGCATAATTACCTCTGCCGACGAATCTATTCCCACAGAAAGCTTCGCTGGAGAGATTACAATGCGTTGAGCCTTACCGCATTTCAGTGGGGGAAAAAAAAGTTACCTAGGAGGTCTGATTTTTCAAAGAAATTTGCATACATGCAAATGTGCCGCCCGGCCTCCTCCTCGGTTCTCTACGTGCCCACGCGGTGGCCGGGGGGGGGGGGGGGGGTGCGGGGCAACCTGGCAAAGTTGCCGAAGTCCTCCGCCGAGGTCCGCGGAGGTCTGCGGCAGCGGTGGGGGGATGGGGACGAGGAAAAGTAGTTTTGTTTGCTTAAGCACATCCTGTGGCAGCCTATAGCTGCCCGGGAGTACAGACTGTAACTGCTCCTCACTGCGTTACCCAGTAATGCGCTGATCGGGGGAGGGGGGCGGGGGGGCCGCAGAGCGAGCGGGAGAGCTAGCGAGCGAGCGAGCGAGGAGCGAGCCAGGGAGAGAGCCGGGGAGCGAGCGAGCCAGGCAGCGAGCGCGAGCGGCCGCGGAGGCTCGGGACCCGGCTGGCCGCGCGGCGCCGCAGCCGCCCCCTCCCCCACGCCCCCTCCCCCCCGCGGCGGCGGCGCGAGCGGGCGGCGGCTGTGCGGTGCGGTGCAGAGCGGAGGCGGAGGCGGGCGCGCGGGCAGCTCGCGGGCACCCGGCCGGGCCGGCGCGGGAGCGGGAAAGGGTGCGCTATGCCTTTAACGCCCGCGTACAGTAGGCATGTATAGTGGAGTGTAGGGAAACTCTAGGCGGGGTTAAAGTTCAGCTCATGGAGCGGCAATAGCGCTGGCTGGCTGCAGTTGAGCCGAGTTGGAAATGTGAACGCAAGAAGCAGGCTTGATTTTTTTTTCTCCCCCCTTCTGTCTCTCTCTCTCTCTTCCTCTCCCTCTTTCTCCTCTCTCACCCACACTCACGCACACCTCCAAACCGCACACCCAGACGCACACGCATACCCCAGCGCCCGGCAGTTATGTATTCTCCGCTCTGTCTCACCCAGGTAAGCCGCGGCGTGGATGCGGAGGGCTGGGGGGCCGGGGGCAGGTCTGGGGCTGGGCGGGGGGCACCGGGGCCGCTGCGCCGGCCGGGCCCAGGGCGTGCGTCTCGGTGTGTGCCTGTGTCTGCGCGTGTTTCTGTGTGTGTGTGCGCGCGTGTGCCCGCGAGGGGGGGGGTCCCGCTTTAAGAAAGTAACTTTGTTTCCATGCGGGTGCTTTCCTCTTGCACGGCCATTTGTGTGGGCACATGGCTAATGGCGCCCTCTTATTAATGCGTTAATTAATATCGGGGCGACGGACTGCGGAACGGCGGTGTTTTCGGACGCCCCGCACGTGTTTCGGCGGGGTTGCAGCCCATGACACGCTGAAATCTGGCTCAGCGTTTCTGCTGCCGGGAGCAGGGATCCTGTAGTTCCGCGGCGCCCGGGGAGGGGGCCGCCTATGGAGCCCACCGCGCACCCCGCACGCTCCGGACGGCCGCAGTCCCCGGGTGCGGGGAGACCTCGGGTGCCTGCGCCCACGGCCCGCTCCCCGGAGCCCCCGCCGCCGCAGCCCCCCGCCGCCTCCCCGAACTCTTACTTTTGTTTATTGTTTGTCAGCCTTCGGGGTCGGGCCGCGGGAAGGACGCGGGCCGCCGTCCCGGCCCCGGCCCGGACAGCGCCCCTCGGACGCGGGCAGGCGGCGGCGAGCCCTCGGCGGAGCGGGACTGCGTGGACGCGCGTTCCCCCGCGCCGGCCGGGTGGAGCCTGCGTCCTCGCCGCGCGCCAGTGGCCCGCTCGCTCTCCCGGAGTGAAAGTTTCGGGGCCGGGACGAGCCCACGCTGCGCAGGGCGCCGAGAATCGGAGGCCGCGGGCTGCCGGCCGGGCAGCGCCGGGCGGAGTCGGGCTCCCGGCCGCGAGCTGGAGCGGCGGCCCGGGCCGGACGCGGCTCCCCCCCGCCACCTCCCGCCGCCGCCACCGCGCGACTCCGGCGGCTCCGCGCGCAGGACGGGGGCAACTTTTCCCCTCCGACTCAACTCAGAGCGTGGGGCTCTCCCGCCTCACCGCCCCTCCTTTCCGTGCCCTCCTGTCCATCTCTCCCTTGTCTACCCACCCCCAGGCAAAATATTGCTACTTCACGACTTCAAATCTGTCCCCTTTGAATATATTATTTGCTTTCCTTGACTAAAAGGCATGAAGTCAAAGTGGTTTTGCGCTTTTTTTTTTTTTTGAAAAAGCGTAAGTTCTCATACTGCTTTGGTACATTGCGATCTGACCATTAATCACCTACGTGAAGTTATATGCTTCACATAAAATGTTTATTCACCACTCCCTTAAAAAACCTACCTCTTCTCTTGCCTTCACTTAGTAGGAGATAACGGTTTAACCGGAATAGTTTCTGGAAGGCTAAAAAGTATCAGTGGTTTTCACTCTCCTTTCTAAATTCTGGATTTGTGGCATCCCTTCTTATTGCAATATCTAACAGTAATAATACCGGGTATTTGATCTCAGAAGACTCTTAAATGCATCTTTTATGTTGAAATGGCCTGTTTGGGATTTAGGCCTAGCATTAATAATAGATAGCAGTTACTTTTAGTTATTGTAAAAGTTTTTTGTTCCCCCCCCCAAAACAAACTTCCAGAGTTCCTATTTTAGTAACTTGTGAAAGTATGGAATGAAACTTTTCCAACCACTTCTGGCAAGGTTCACAATTGCATATGGATAACATGCAAAGTGTAAGATAATTTGAATGAATTACGGACTATAGTGAAAATGCTGAGATTCGAAAGCTGAAGTTCTCGCTGGCAGAAGTTTGCAACACACAGAACTTGTAGATAATACCAGCGAGCTGCAATAGAGGGAAAGGACCCTAACAGATACATGGTGTCTTCTCAACTGAGCTCTGAAAAGATAAATTTATATTTGGGGATGGTGCATATGAGGGCACCTGTATATCCATGCAGGCCCAGGGCACAGTCAGGTATTTAGTAAAGTTGGCTTCTCTTGGTTCATGAGCTATTATCACATTAAGAAAGTTCTTTTTCTTTTTTCTTCTTTTTCTTTTTTCCACTTACATATTTAACAGGATTGAGTGATGCATTCACTAGGCCTTCTGGAAACACCACTATGAGAAATGCTTATTTAGTGTAACAGTTTCTAAAGAAAATGCACAATGAGGGCTCATATTTTATGGGTTCTTCTTTTAAACATTAATTTACAATTTATTTAACTTGCTGGAATATTTATAATGCTTTAGAGTCAGTTTTAGGAAGAAAAACTTTGGTGGTTTATTGCTCATTAAAAAAATCCAGTAAGCACAGTGACAAAACTATTCTAAATGAAAGAAAAACTCTATTTAACTTGTAGGCAATTTAAAAAAAACTTTACCAAGAAAACCTAGACATCTTATTTTAATCAAGGATGGGCATGTAATAACCATTTCAGGTACTGTCCATATAATGATAACCCAGCAGAAATTTGTAGGTGAACCTTTAAAAAAAGTAGTTTCCAGAAATATCAGCATTCAGTGGTTCTTAAACTTGGCTCACTTTCAAACAGATCAATGTTTAAGATGCTGATTCAAAGCACTACCACTTTTGAAACAGGTTTTCAGGTTTGTTTTTATTGGTGACCTATAACTTTCTCACTGAATACATATGTAAAATATTCTCTTTTTTTCCTCTTGAATGTTATGAAATAGTACGTACCTTGTAGCAATATGTTCAGCAACATGAATTATAAAGCCATACTACTTTTTTTTAAAAAAAAAGCTAATCATTTATGCTACCCTGGACATTTCCTACAAGCTAATGATATTCTTTAGTTTTGATATTCTGAAATATTTTAAATCATGACTTGAGAAAGATAATCAGACAAAATTAATACTTTAATTGTGCATATGAGTAAAGTTATACAAAATATTCTTCTTAACGTTTGGGGAGTAATACATTGTAGATACTTTTGATGCAAAATTGGGGACTTAGGTTATTCTTAATGACTAGTTGACATAGTTCTTGTTTAAGGATTTTTATGATGAGATGTATGGGCATTTGGTTGGCAGGTAAACAGAATCCTGTTGAACCCGAATGCATGCAGTTTGCAGTTTTTTGAAAAGCATATTAGGAGTATGTTCGCACATTTAAAATGCCATATTAGAATGTTTATTTTAAATGCTTGTTATCATTAATCAAACTTTTAAATAAGATAATGTTTTAACATAGATATGAATTGTTTGGAGCTAAGTTATCCCTTGCATTAGAAAATGGAGCTGAAACTTTAAAATGAAATCCTCCTTTGGGTGAAAACTCACTTTGTAGTTGAAGGTAGACTCCAGGAGTTCTTTGCATAATACAACAGAGTCTTGGTCCCTAGCATGTCTTGTATATATAAGAAAATCAGGCAATGTGAAGTTCTGTTTCAAACCTAAAATTTATGTATTTTAGAGCATTTCAAGGATGAGCTCAGAATTTAGTAATGTTTAGATCCTTTGTGGTTTGGTGTATACCTTCGCAGATAAACTGTGACTTGCCCCCCATTCCTTTCTCCTAAAGTATGAGAATAAGAAATATTCTCAAACATCAGAAATTTTAAAAATGTTAATGATTTATGGCAAAGAATAATAATTCCTGTATTTTTTTTTTTCTATTCTTTCTCTAAAGAATGCACATGTGTTATGAAAGCTGACTACTTCTCTTTTGGATTCTTTTATTGAAAAAGAGCAGTTTTTAAAGCTAAACTGGAAACATAGAGCCTGAAATTTGTGCAGAGAAGAAAAAAAAGTCAGTTTATTGAAGTGATTTATTACATATTATATTAACATATACTTTTAAAAGCTCAGCCACAAAGTGTTTAAGTGATTGATTATAATTTGCAAAATTTTTAAATGACATGACTATTAAATATTTTACCAATTTTACCTTATCAGTTCACATTTGAACATTTAAAAATTTAGTCATTGCGTTAATAAGAATATTTTGGACATGACTGCTACCTGTGCCTTGAAAGTATATATTTAGTTAGATATAACAAACTGAAAAAGAATGCATTTTATATTTGTCCTACACCCTTTAGCAAAAAGTCATCAATCTCTCTTTGGTTTCTAACCTTCATTTATTTGAAGGTAATCTATCTTTTGGAGAAAGGGGTTATGTGGCAGAGAGAAGTTATGTAACAGTGTGGATTAGTTAATCAAAAGTTAGATGTACTCCGAAAGCTTTGTGGAGGTTACTGTTTAATCTTTTAAAAAATATATTTATATTTCCTAAGAAAATGTCATGTTTAAGGATCTGACATTTTAAGCAAAACATGAAGAAACACTTAAATATTTGAAATTCAATTTTGTTTTTCAATTTTAAGAGGCATCTATGAGGGTTTTCCTGGC